GGATTGAAAGGGTTAAGGCCTGTCCCTCTTCTGCAGATAAATTTAAACCTAATTCCTGAGAAGTCATACAAGTTACATTTTTTACTGTAATGGGAATTTCCATAGTCAATATATTGAATCACTAATTCATATTAAGATCTCTTATAATTCAGTAATGAGAAAGAAATGCAAACAAATAAACTGTACAAAAAATGCAAACAGTAAAATAAAACTGATGAAAAAAAATTTAAATGGTACAGAAGCACAATTATAAATGAGAGCCACATGTGAAAAAATGTCTAAATAATGCTGTGCCAACTGAAAAAGTGAGGATTGAGCAGGAATAGCAGAGGGAGCTAACTGCACCAATATAGGAGGTGCAATACTATTGGTGGAGAGTAGTCACATGCTATGTTCAATAGTGGCATGAAATTGGTGGGGTATATAGACTGGTGTACTGAGTGTGAAAATTTTTTCAGCAATGCTTGGAGAGGAGAAAGAAAATTGAGATAGATATGTGTGAGAAAAGGTAAGGCTGTATTATAAAAACCTTTTTCAGGTATATTCAAGTGAATTTTTCAAAAATTTCATGCAGGTCATCCTGTTACTATGTTTAGTTAAAATTTAAATTAACATGAGGTAGTCAATGTACCATGCTCTAATCACTGCTTCAGAAAGGTTACATAGCATAGTGGTCATTCAAAAGGACTTGAACTCTTCTGCTCAAGATTCTGTTTTGTATATCCAAATGAATGGGTTATACTGAGGTTTGAAGAGCTAAGTATAATCTTAGAGTTAACCTTCCCTGAAATGTTATGAGAATGATCCCCGACAAAGTTAACCTAATATAATGGAATAATACCAAATTAAGGGGATCATAACAATAATCTCTGTTTTTGTTTTAAAAAATGCCTTTTTTCCATCTGCACCAGCAGCAAAAATAATAACTAAAAACTGCATAAAAGGCTGGACAGTTTATAAATATACATAGTATACTGCCACCAAAGAACATGTGAATACAAACATATCTACAACAGTTTGTGTATGTAAATGAAGATTTTTATATTTTCACATCACACTTATTCTTACTGGTTGAGTTTGATTTATTCTCCTACAATATTTTTATTTCAAACCTTTCATAACTGTGGTCTTGTAGCTCACTTGTTGGTTAAATTTCACCACAGAATGCAAGAAAGTAAAATACCTAAGCTAAAATAACTAATTAAAATTTGAACTAACACAAGCTAACTAAATTAAACATTGAAACAAAATAATAAACACTGAGCTAGTGCAAAAACAAGAATGAATTTTTTTAACTTTAGCTATTTCCATACTAATATGATATTTTAGACTTTTAATACAATGTCTGCAAACCTTGGGAGATATTTTCTTGAACTCCAGAATAAAAATGGTTAACTGTAGCAGAAGCAATGTCTAACAGGCGTTCAACAATAAAACTTCCTTCAGTGTCAATATAAATAGCCTCCCCTCCAACTCCTCCACAAGATTCTGGTATCTGAACATTAACACTAAGTTGCAAGCTAGATAAGTATACATAGAGATAAAACACCAATAGCTTGAATAATATTAAATTGTTCATCAAATATTTTCATTTACATTTAATTATAATGTTAAGGATTATCAAAGAATATTAATTTATTTCTCTCTAATTAAAGCAATGATATTTCAATTTTCCATTTGCACAAATTTCTAATATCACACATAAAAAACATACATTCAAGTTTACAAAAGAGTAAGTTGTATATACAGATGCAACTGAATTGAAGAACAATCAGAGAGGTCAGCTTAATAACTAAATACTTAACAAGATATCTATCATGAAATAACTCTGAGTTCTCCAAGTTTCACGGAATTTGAAAAAGGACCCCACTGGACAAAATGTACAACACACAGTAAAAACAATCTTCACTTATTCTTGAAAATACAACCAACATTGTGTGCACAATATGAAGGACAGCACCTTTACTATATAGCTATATTCTCCTAACAACTTATAAAGATGTTCAATAATAATAATAATTAGTTAAAATTACACTTACATATTCAACTATAGGAGATTATTACTATTTACAGAGAAAGGACTTAACTTTTCAAAATGAGGGCTGAGCTTGAGAAAGAGAGAGAGCTAACGAAAAGACTATAGTATTACACACCCAACAGTTAAACGAAATTGTAACCTCTTTAGACTTCTATTCATTATTTCTGTAGATACAACTTAAAGTCCTATTTGCCTTACCACTAGCAACAGCACACTGCTTGGATGGTTTAAGAGACTGATCAACCTCTACACCAAGATCCTTTTCTTTTATGACCTTGTTAAGATTATTCCCATCCAAATTATACTTATAAGTCACCTTATGATAACCATATGCATTATATTTATTCTCAGGATGTGTGCACCACTTATGTTCTGTTCAATCACACTGAAACATAAGAAAGGTCATAACTTCAAGTTTTCACCTGACCTACATTGGAAGACACATTCTAGTAAGCATGCAGCATTCCTGTCCTCCCTCATAGAGAACAAGTATTATATCTCCAGATAATAACAAAGGAACAAAGACAACTAAAAGGAAATGAGTTTAGTGACTTTCTCAACCACATGCTATGTGAAACCTCCATATATACAGAATAAATGATAAATTGAAAATAAATACGAAAATATCATATTGTAATTCAGTTTAATAAATACTGCTCAGGTCACCTATGAATCTTACACAGGAAATAGTAGCTTAAGCCAACTGTTCTGGTCTGTTCTTTACACTGAGCAATGTACCAGGTAAAAAACACACTAAAAGATACAATATCTGTGAGACCCACCAGTAGTGAATGATAAAAAATGAAGTCAGTAATTTGATAGGTAAATTCATTGACTTAATTTATTATACAGAATTACTAACTTATAAATTAACCAATCACAGTCATACTCAATTGACACTAAAAATAGAAGTATGTATAACAATAAAACAAAGATTATATAGCTTTATAAAGTTACCAGTTCATCTCTAAAAAAATCTAACACGAATCTCACTAAAAATTAAATGAAACATTTGAATCATACCTACTACTCCTATGCTTATTGGGAGAGTTAATTTTACTGACCTTGCATCCACTATGTACTGTGTATCTTCATGAAATTTGATACATTTTTAGTAAACATTACAAGTCTATTGTACACAAAAATGAGATTTTGTCATAAAATATTCTTCCTTTTACTATGTCAGTCTGAGTGAAAGGTGATTTTCATGTTAAGAATTAAAATACTTCTTTTCAACTTACATGTTTCATATTTCATTTTGCAAAACCTCAAGAACATTCTCAATGAATATCAAGTTTTTTTTGTAAAACTTCCTACTTTTTATCTTTTTTCCCCCACAATGATACTAACTGTAGCAAAATAATCCATACCTAAAGCTAAAAAATAAAAAAAAGCATTTTTTTTTGAAGGACTGCAGATTATAACAGACAATTATGGGTATGATCCAAACCAACCACCACTCAAAAACTAAAATGTTGCTCCTGATGAAAGAGACTGGAAGTTCCAGAACCATTAGTTTCACTGGGACTACTGAAGGGATAGCATGTATTCTCATCCCAAAAAAATGAGATTTGATGTACATAAGAGCCTGACTGCCCATTTCATAGCCTGTAGCTGGATGGGAGGTGGCTGAAAACTTGAACAACCCAGCAGAAGACATATGGTGCTAATGCTAGACCCTTAAACTGTAGAACCTAATCCCCATACACAAAACATAGTTAAAGGCAAGATGAATTCACTATGACAGTATGGAGAAATGCCTCAGCAACCTCAAACTTGGGCATCCACAGACCTGGTGAAGAATGCCAACGTAGGGTGAGAAAGAATTCCATTGTGGACCTGGGAGGATCGAAGAATGGGTTGAGATGAGAAAAAACAACAATCATCTGCCAACCTTCCCTTGCCCCAGGCACAAAAAATAAACAGGAATAACATCCCAGAAGAACGAGGTCAACTGTCACTACCACCTCTGTGACCAGTAAATCTGATAACTGTGAAATGAAAATCCACACCCCACTGTTCAGGTGGGGATGGAAATACCACAGGTTGGAAGGATAATGGGGTGGAAAATTGAATGAAAAGACTAAATTCGATACCAGAACCTAAAGTACCCTTGGATCTGCATCAATAAGTGTAACCTCACTCAACTGCCCCCCCCCCCCAACTTGCCTTTGATGTCGGTCGGTCCGAATGGAGAAGCCCTGAAACTAAGGTCTGAATCTATTCAGGTGCTAGAGCCAAAGATGGTCTAGAGGTCAATAACAACAAAAAGCAAATGGGTGACATCAATACACGATACAAATGCCTCTGGGACACCCGCGAACATCAAGTGACGATAAAAAGAAGCCACATGTAACACACCGAGGCTACAGAAGGTAGACAAACTCCCTCCACCAAGGTATCTCTACAGAAGGAACAGAAGCAGTCAATCTGACCAAGTCAGAAGTCAGTGGAAGACCCCATTGATCTGCAAATTGATATGGGGACCATTGATAGGCTGCCAACAATTTTTGGAAAGAGGAACAAACATCACAGAGCAAGAGTGAAAACCAAACAAATACTAGAAAATGTGATCAGTTCAAGGTGATCACATGAACCATCCTGGAGCCCCACATATATATAAAAAAAAAAGGATTTTAGTCTGTAGAATCAAAATATACGTCCACCAGGAGGTGGAAAGCCAAAGCATGCAAACTGACAAAACGAGGGTATATTATCCATCTATCCCGTCATGTAATAAAGCAGTAAATCTCCCAGCATGAACTAGGAATATCAAGTGAAGGAGAAAAAAACTAAATAGTCCCCCCCCCCCCTCACCCACCTTTCCACCAACAAGGGAGGAGTAGACTCAAAGGGCACAAAGGAAAGCCCCAAAATCTCACATACCCAAGTGACTAATTGAAGAAAAGGAGTAGGAGGTGATTGATTCAAATTCTCCCCAGAATAACCAGGAACAACAAAAAAAGCAACACCCCTGGGCCGAATGTATGTCTCCATCTCCCAAAGGATTAAAACACGGACAACCTCAACTAAGAGTGTAGAGAGACGCTAGATAACAAAGAAGGATTAGGGATGATCAGAGTAGCCGCCATTACAACAGTAATACGGGAATTCATCGCTGCAAGTATCACAAAAATCCACAAAGTGACGTGAAATCCATAATGAAACAAAATACAGCACTTCATCAGTGGAAACCATGACCAACACTTTGTCAAGAAAAAATGATTACATTGTCTGAGTGAGGTGCTTATATACAGTATCAGGATAGAGGGTGCATTGATGTGGGTGGAGAGATTTGCAAACTAGAAATTGCCAAAGGCATTTAAGTGGGGTATAAAAGACTGAAGCATGCAAGACCAATGCTTAGATATGCAAAGCCAACATCGAGGAATAGCTAGCTATAAGTGGCAGTGGAGGAAAGTATGTTTTGGAATTTTACTTTAAATGATGATTGCCATTCACTTTAATTTATTTCTCTACCCAAAAAACAAGGCAGGAAACCATCACTAAGATATCAAACCAGAAAATGACCAACACTCCTAATTGTTCATCTTTATTCTTCTTGTTTCAGCCGAGATAACTCTACAATCGCTTTATCACTAACATCAGTGTAAACCTAAATCCACTCTGTGTGTTTCTGGGCAGTGCATGATGTCATCTCTTATTTGTAATATAAATAGCAGTAATTGAAAAAATCCTAATTCTAATGTAAATAATGGTATTACCCCTTGAAGTTAGCTTTTTTTTTACAGAAATCTGGAAAACAAAGAACTTTAGTTCAACTTGGAGCATCAAGACTTCAACAAGTAGTACTCCAGCTGTGGTAAGCAAAGTATGGTGTCTTGTATCAGGTGACAAAACAACATCTTCTTGTCCCATGCAATGATATGCAACATAATCAAGGATGGTCTCCATATGGAAAAGTGACAAGTCATGTGTACAGAAGGCTTAACAGAAAACCACATCTCAGCAGTGGACACCTAGAAGGGGAAGATAGCCTTAACACGTTCTGTTATCTCCTACTCAATGTGGATTTTGGGACAGAGAAGTATTCCATCTGAAGCAACACCGGCCACTAAGACCATCCTTTTTTTTTTTATAATTCTGAGGAGTAACAGTCAGAGTTCTAATAAAATGAAATTCTGAAATGTTTGTAATTAAATTTGTTTTTTTTGGAATAACTGATTTAATATTTCTTTTAAAACTTCTATTTTCACCTTATGAATAATTTTACTCCCTGAAAAAAACGAGTTCATCTAGAATCATCACAAGTTTCTTTGCCAAATATTAAACATTGTACTCTAAACATTGTTTTTCTAGGATTAGAGCAAACGTTTCAATGAATTATGTGTCATCTATCACACACATTGTCAAAAATCTTTACTAACTTAATCATATAAAATGTAAGAAGAATTATTTCAAACAAATTATTAGTTTATTTACCTTTAATAGTCTTGTGAAAATTTGTATGAAGAAACCTAT